TGACCTCGCGATGAAAAATACGATAGGTAGCGACGCATGTAGATATTCAAATTCCCTTCTTTAACGAGATAAACTATCGTATTAGCATTTAACATATTCATGGAGTATTAAGGAGCATTACCGAGTCAAAAATGAACCATTCACTAGCCAAAGAGGCTTATTATTAACTCCACTTCTTCAATCCTCTTCAATTTTTCCACCAAAGCGCTTATCTAACGTTGAAATTTTTATGGTTGAAATAAATTTATATCGTCTTGATCGATTTGAAAGTGAGTGACTAAAATGTAATCTGTACATATCAAATAGGGTAACGGTCAATGGAAAATATCTCTTTAGCTTTCATCTTTTTAGGAACAGAGACTGTTCTCATTGATTCTATATTTTAATAGCATTCGCCATTTTCCAATGTATTCCTATTATCCTGAATGTACTTTCATCTACCCCACTTTTCTACCACTCGTCCAACATTGATCTCCTATTCGCTTTGTACTTTGTCCTGAAATTTGCAAAGGCTGCTCGCAGTTTGCCTCTTGGCTTGCCTCTGGCTTGCTCACCATGACATTCGGAGCAAGGATGTACCCGTTTGCTCGCTCCGTTATTCGGTAAAAAATATGCTAATGTAATTTCGAACTTTGTTCCATCTATTTTTATTCTCATTAGAATCGATCGGATCATGTCCTGCTTCGTACCTAGCTCTTCGATAGCTAAACTCTGTCAAGTGACGAATTTACCGAATATTCGATGATATAGAGAATATTTGTGACAAGTAGCGTTGCACACAGACGAAACGGGTCATAATCGAGATCGATAAACGTTAATAATGCAATTTTCGTAACCAATGACACGGTTGTAACCGAGAAGCCTCGATGTTCGTGACTTGGTTGGCTTATGAGCCACGTTAGGTGCAGGCAAGTATTGTCCAAGGCAGTCGGACATCATGACGCAGCTCAGAGACATTACTTTACAGTTGGTGGGACCTTTAAGCCAATTTCACGTCGGGTTTCTTCGCTCTAATACTCCTATCGCGCCCACGTGACTTCGCGTACGACCAAACGGTCACTGTTCACGATTGATAGTGTCGATCGAAGATCGACTGGCAAAATACGAGAATGAACCGTTCGTTTCGCCAAACAGGCTAAATCATAATCGTGAACGATAGTCGTGATCGATGGAACGAAATTGACAGTGCTTTCGAAACGGATTGAAGGATACTCGCAGAGCAGAGGAATCATCGATCTGTGAAATTGACAGGATTCTCGTATTCTAGGTCGAAGACACTAATCGGTTGCTATTTCCAGCGAACACAGTTCGTTGGGATAGGTTGGTCGAAATAAAGGAAAGGAGTTGGGTCTGAAATGGATACTTTCACGAAACGTAAGATCTGTTTCATAGAGAAATTCGATTAGGTTCACCGGGTAGCTAAGGCCTTGGTGGCAATTTCTGCTTTATTTCCTCGGTGTTTAAAGTGCATTTCACCTGGAAGGAGCACGAAACGAAATATCGCAAAATAGAAAGCGTTCTCGCGATAAATTTAACGTTCGATGATGAAAGATCTTTAGAAATTGAAAAATTAGGCGATCAAATTTTTAACGACATATTTATAGTATTAAAATTGAAAGAAATTTTACAGTCTGGAAACTTGGACGAACCTGTCCATCAACTGGTTCCTCTTCGATTTCGATGACCTTGAAGTATGCTATAAATGGCAAGATTTCGAGCGACCATCTTTTACGCGTTAAAATATGGTTTCTCTTGGTTTTCAAATATATCAAAAATGATCTTGCAATATGTGATACGTAATATGATAGATACGTTTGACAGGATTGACAGATTTTTGCTAATATCTCAGATATGGAGGCCAGTCGCTGTCAACGTGTACAGGAAAACGTTGCTAGAAATGTTGTCATTTGCAGCATGCTTCGAGCTCATTGTATTCAACGAGGAATCAGTAAAACGACACGTTGATGACACGTGTCACTAATAGTAGTCACTCAAGCTTGCCCGACATTCATAGCGTTGGAAATGCATAATCGCAGTTTTGATGGTAAATTATTCCATAAATACTGAACGCAAACGTAGATCAGTAAGTATGACACACTTCACACCGTTCATCGTGACTTGGATGGCTATGCATAATGATTAATACCTGCTGCGTGCTGGCTTACAAGATTATGAAATTTACTGTGTACCTTAGCGTGTCCTTGTATTTACATTTAGAAGCGGTATGAAAATTTTAATTGCACGTTGGCTCCTGCCCGAAGAAAGATTACATTTTACAAATCCTTTTAATTAATCCTTCTCGCAAATATCGCAATAATGTATCCGCCAAGTGTTGCTCCTGCCCTCTCTTTACTTTATTTTGACTTAATTTCGCATCGAGTTTACCGAGTCGTTGCAATTTAATTATCGTAAACGATTTATTTACTGCCGCGATATTCTCCTGGAATGGTACAATTTAGCATACATTAAATTAAGCCATCTTTCAGCTCGGCTGATCCAAGGATGAACAAGCCGAGTTTCTCCCATGATAATTCCACTGCCCTACCGTACCTATAAATTATGTCACTCGTAATCTATAAACGTCTTGTTTAATTTCGCGTTTCAAAATGTCATTCGAAACCACGAATGGCTTCGATCCTTAGGCGGCTTCATCCACTGGCGTAGGCCATCCGGCGGATTCGATTGTTTCGCAAATTTCCATACGACCGCCAATGGGAAGGTAAAAAGAATCGCGAAACGATGCTCCAGTTTGGAAAATTCTGACAACCCTGTTGCAGACACGCTAATTTCCACTAATTCTGACGCGAATCTCACGCGTGGATGATATGGATAAATTGCGTGAGCAAAAATTGCAATATTTTCTATTATTAGTTGTTATTAGTGTCTTCCATTATTACCAATTACTAATTACTAATAATTGATTACTAGTGACTAATAATTAATTACTAATTAGTAATTATTAATAATTCATTACTAATTACTAATATCATTTGCGATATCTTCTATTATTATTAACTACTAATTACTAATATAATTTGCGATATCTTCTATTATTATTAACTACTAAATACTAATATCATTTGCAATATCTTCTATTATTTGTTATTATTAGTATCTTCTATTATTACTAATTACTAATTACTAACGGCTAATGACTAATAATGAATTACTAATTACTAATATCATTTGCAATATCTTCTATTATTAATAATTACTAATTACTAATGACTAATAAGTACTTACTAATTAGTAATATCATTTGCGATACCTTCTATTATTAGTATCTTCTATACTTACTAATTACTAATTACTTATATCACTTGCAATATCTTCTATTATTACTAATTACTAATTACTAATAATTAATTATTAATTACTAATATTTGCGATATCTTCTATTATTAGCTATTATTAGTATCTTCTATGATTACTAATTACTAATAATTAATTACTAATTACTAATATTTGCAATATCTTTTATTATTAGCTATTATTAGTATCTTCTATGATTACTAATGACTAATAATTAATTACTAATTGCTAATTACTAATAATTAATTTCTAATTATTAATATCTTCTATTATTAGTATTAATATTATCCGCCTATGGCGTTGCAAAATTTTCCTATTCGTTTGTACGAGTGATGCAGGAAAATGGAACTAATCGAGACGTACGTCTCAATCAAAAGTTGTTCCCTAGATAGATATGAGATAGATATTGGTGATGCACGGGCATAGTTGGAGCTAAATATGGAATTAATATCGAGAATCAAAATGACAGAGAAACACGTGGCATAGTCTTCTTACGAGACCTATTTCTGAGACCGAGCAGAAGTGCGCCGGTCTTACCGAGCCTAATCCTGTTAGGGAGTTAACAGGTATTTGGTTAGAAGACGAACGACCCAGTCGTATTTCACACCTGGCCAAGTGAACAGTGTTCGTCAATAATCACCGGCGTTTAAATGAGGTTCCGGGACTTTTGAAATTTCCAACGCGAGCTACGGTCAACGAAATGGGTGACATAATCGGTCAGTAAGGCATTCATGCGGCCAGAAATTCTGGAGAACGATGTAGAAAGTGCAGTGGGATAGTCATAAATGCCCGTGGAATGAATTTTTCACGAGTTTGGTGACCATTTATTAAGCTCGGGAGCAACTTCGAAAGCGGGAGAAAGTGTTCCATGTTCAGGGCACAGTGAAATTTTATTATTCCACGGAACAATAGAATTGCATAATCGTCAGTAACGATAACGATGTCCGAAGGTGACAGACACGGAATTTTATATCGGTCTATTTAAATTCGAATCCAGAGTGATGAATGAAGGGGAAGGAAATTTCGCTTCGCTTATTCGATTACCAACGCGGACACTATGTACAACCCTAAATTCGATTATAATGGGAAAATATGTTATATAACCTCTGCAAATCTGCAAATCTCTATTCTACATGTATATTAACAAGATTACAAATGTTACTTTTTAATGCTTCGTGGAAAATCAATCTTCCTGAACCAATAGTATCCTAAGATCTCACTACTCCGACTGTGCGTTTTCATTTATTCTCGTTTATTCGTTTATCCCGAGTAAAATATTCTCCACCTCGTTTATGGTGAGATTTAATTTCAAAGCGTGATTCTATTGCCTTATTCTTGAGTGGTATAACAGTGACAACTTTTCTTTTCGCGGTTCACCGCAACTTTCTATAAGATTCAGAATCAGTTCACCACCGGTATAGTCTTGTTCGTCTCGTCTAAAACTACCATTAAATGCAGGACGTAAAATATTTTAACGTCATACCCAATTCCTATTCGTCATATTCCAATTCGTATTTAAAAATAAATAAGAAAAGCACAACCGCTTGGTGGTATTTTGTTTGATGTATATTGTTCCAATAGCGATCAAGGATGTCAAATTTTACAATTAAAAACAGTAAATCGTAAATAAAATATTGGACTAATTTTGTTTCCTGATGTGTTTTATTCGATATCATTCCCTGTTTCAGAAATGACCGGTGGTGGTACCAATATGGCGTACCACGGTCTCAGTCAGCACGTGAACTTCGACGTGATACCAGATCCTGGCGATCGTTTCGTTTTGGAGGAATTAATCGGTGAAGGGACCTACGGAGAGGTCTACAGCGCACATTGCAATCAAACTGGCAATAAAGTGGCAATTAAGATTCTGGAGAACGTCGCGGACAACATCGAGGAGATCGAGGAGGAGTACTTAGTGTTGAGAGACCTAAGCCATCATCCGAACATTCCGCTCTT